TGATTCTAGCTCATCAAAGCTCAGCTCAACACGAAAAAATGGCTAAATCTGGCATTGTCCCTGTACTTCTTGAATTGGCGTTACTGGGGAGTCCTCTAGCTCAAAAGAGAGCACTAAAACTATTGCAATGGTTCAAAGATGAGAGGCAAACAAGGATGGGGCCACATTCTGGGCCTCAAACAGCAAGGATCGCAATAGGGTCACCTGTAAATCATAGGGAAGCTCAAGAAGGAAAGAAATTGATGAAGGATTTGGTGAAGCAAAGTTTACATAAGAATATGGAGTTGATAACTCGGCGAGCCAATGCTACTTCAGGGGACTCTTCCATGCTCAAGTCCTTGGTTATCAGCACAAGTTCTAAAAGCCTGCCCTGCTAAAGATTTTACAGGCCCTTTAGCAATTTCCAGGCTGCTCTTAAGATTCCAGCTCTCGTGTTTGTTGATTATTGAAAATAGATCAAGGGATTGTGACCCTTAATTACCACAAAATGCTTTTGTGTGCAGTGTAGCTGATGATAATTGTACATGGCGGAACTTAAAAAAACTGCAAGTCTCCAGATGGGGTCTCTTCCCATTCTTTCCAAGAAGATCAATTTCAATTCTTGCACAAACTATTTTTCCTATTTTTATGGCCTTCCAGTTGCCAAAACTAGAAGATCAATTTTTGCTCTTCATTGCTTCATGGCTCCTAATCATAAGCTTATGTGAGCAAATTTCAAGCTGCTGCCGTCTTCAACAAGTATCTGCACTGGGCAATCAATCCTGGCCCGGCAAAAGTGAAAAGCTGGGTTCCACCATAGCATAGATAAACCAACAAGGTAAGTGTTGATTTGCATGGTTGCAGGCGGTTCACCGGAAAAAAATAAATGCAAACGATCAGAACATTTTCTTAAAAAAGGAAAGAATTTTTTTTTTTATTAATATTAGGGTAATCTCAAACCATGTTATACATATGATTTATATAAAAATAAAAGAAATAACTTATTATTAACTCATGAAATTCTATTAAATATTTTATAAATTGTAATTAAATCACAATGTTATTAAAAAAAATTCATCATGACCACTCGTTACCCCACCTCCATTATTATGCTATCATAACATATCATTATTCTTCTACAATTATATATATTAATTATAACTAAAATTAATTAATATCTTTTTATAATGCGAGCTATTATGTACCATAAGTAAATTCATTATAAGTTATATTATTATACACCGTAACATAAATATTGAATACAATAAGTGAATTTATTATGAATTATATTATTTGGTAAGTATATGTGTGAGGCTGCAGCCAACAGATCTCAAGCACCATGCTGAAGGTGCCCAATATTGAATACAATAAGTGAATTTATTATAAATTATATTATTTGATGAGTATATGTGTGAGGCTGCAGCCAGCAGATCTCCAGCATCATGTTGAAGGTGCCTCCCAAAGTGTCGCACACATGACACTTTGTTTTTTGCCTGAGGTTGGGTATCAATAGCGCACAAATGATGCTTGGGTTGCCTACCTGCCTGCTGACAGATCAAGCATATAAGGGGCGCTTGGGCTTCTGTCCTAGTGCTGGGTATACCCTTACTCCCATATGGCTCTTGAGATGCTTGTCTGAAGCTAGACATACCCTGTGTACACGTAGCGCTAGGAATACCTGATTAAGGTGTAGGCATCTCTAGCGCACACGTAGCGCTTGGGTTGTGCTAGGAGTGAGTCATGCATGTGCCCCATATGAGAACACTTGGAGCTTGGGTCATGGCGTTTGGTCGAGGTTTCTAAGTTCTCATAGTCTAAATATTATTATTTTTATTATAATTAATGTTATTTATGAAATAATTAATAAATTTGAAAGAAGATATTATTATTAATATTGAAAACTTGGACTGTGCTAGAAGTGAGTCATGCATGTGCCCCATATGAGAACACTTGGAGCTTGGGTCATGGCGTTTGGTCGAGGTTTCTAAGTTTTAGGATTCTGAATATTATTATTTTTATTATAATTAATGTTATTTATGAAATAATTAATAAATTTGAAAGAAGATATTATTATTAATATTGAAAACTTATTATTATTTATATTATAAATTTTTATGATATTTTTTATAAAAATAAAAAGTAAGCCCGCGGCATAGTATTATTAAAAATAATCAATAATTTTAAGTATTAATATAAAAAATATTGTAATTTGAGTTATAAATATTATTATTTTTCTTACAATACAAAGTGTTCATATAAAACATATTATTATTTTTCTTATTATTCAAAGTATTCATATCAAAATATTATTATTTTTCTTAGAATTCAACATATTCATATCAAATATATTATTATTTGTGTTAGAATATTATTATTTTTATAAGAATTCAAGTTTTTAATAGAAAAAAAATATTATTATGCGCGTTCTAAATATTCTTGGAATTAAAAATAGTATTAGTTGTGTTATGAATATTATTATTTTCTTCACTATAATCAAAAGTATTAATATTAAAAATATTATCTTTTGTGTTATAAATATGATTATTTTTATAATAATTAATATTATTAATAAAATAATTATTAAATTAGAAAACAATTATTCTTAATATTGAAAAACACTCATAAATTTGATTTGAAAGGTAAAACGAAAAATTACTTTTACTTTTACTTTTAATATTATTTTATTATTATTATTATTTAATTTTAAAAAACTGTTATTACTATTGAAAAAAACCACAAGGAACATGTGGTGTTTGGTCTACTATCTAGTGCTGGCAACACCCTCTAAGCATAAGTGATGCTTGGACTTCTACCTACAGCACACATGAGGTGCTTGGACTATGCTGAGCATGTCCATGTTTGTGCCCTACTTGGACACACATGGTACTTGGATCATGCTATTGGACCTAAAGGGAATGGGTCCGACGTCAATACCTAAGATCAATGGATTGTACGTAAGGATCCAATTCTAAATATTATTAATAAAATAATTAATAAGTTTCAAAAAAAAATATTCCTATTAATATTGAAAACATATTATTATTTATATCATAGATGTTTATGGTGTTTTTTATAAAAATAAAAAGGAGCTTGTGACGTAGTATTATTCAAAATATTCAACAATTCTAGATATTAATATAAAAAATATTATCATTTTCATTATAAATATTATCATTTTTCTTACAATACAGAGTATTCATCTAAAACATATTATTATTTTAAATATTCATATCAAAATAATATTATTTTTCTTATAATTCAACATATTCATATCAAACATATTATTATTTGTGTTATAATATTATTATTTTTATAGGAATTCAAATTTTTAATATAAAAAATAGTATTATTTATGTTCTGAATATTCTTATTTTCACTATAATCAAAAGTATTAATATTAAAAATAGTATATTTTGTGTTATAAATAATATTATTTTTATAATAAAATAATTAGAAAATTAGAAAAAAATATTCTTAATATTGAAAAATACCCATAAATTTAATTTGAAAGGTAAAACTAAAAATTAATATTATTATCATTATCATCATCGTTAATAATTTTAAAAAAACTATTATTACTATTAAAGAAAAACAAAATGGGAACTACTTTAATTGTTGTCTGGAAGCTGGGTATATCCCGTGCGCCCACGTGGGGCTTGAGTTCTATCTTATTGTTGGGCACGCTCCTACACACATGTGGTGCTTAGGCTACCTGCCTGGGGCTTGACACCCTCACCACATACATGGTGCTTGGACACATCAAAGATCCAACTATCCTTGGATCCTGCATTCTACAAAATCCAAAATAACTTTGGGTTATTAACTATGCAGGGCCCAAAATAGACTTGGGTCCTGCAATTTAGTCCCTAACTTTTTAAGAAAATAAAAGGTGTGTTAACACGGGCCACCTAACTAGTTTTATACTATTATTTATCATACATCATATATTAATAGTATTTTTTATATGTAATATTTTATAAAAACATAATATTTTTAAATTATTATTAGTAATAATATTAAAATACTTTAGGGAAAATCACTTGCTTGCACTGTTTATATAAATAGTAAAATAAGTTTTTTTTTCTTTTTTATATTTTAATTGATTTTTATGTTAATTTTTTAATCTCATCCTTTAAAAATTAATTGATTTTGAATTGATCTTTATAATTTGTTTCGGCTTATTTTTTATAAAATTATCACAGCCTTAAACAAATATTCATCTATTTAGTTAATTCTTGATTTTATAAGTGTTTATTTTTGTTATTATATAATTAAGTAAAAAATAGTTCATAAAACAAAGTGATTAAACAGAGTGGTGTCATGTCCTAGATTGTAGTTTTGACAAGTTAAGTCATGAAGCTCGAGTCAATCTAATATGTTGTCGTTTTAATATTAAAAAAAAATATCTTGATTCTTTTTAAAAGGCAATCCATGTTTTTATTGGTTCTTCAAGTAATTTTTAAACTTGCCAAGTTAACTAGTTTACATAAAAAAAATAGTTTTAAAAAACTTAGTTATTAAACTTAGAGCAATCCATGACTTGAGTTCTAGATTTAAGTTGATTTAATATATTACAATTTTAATATTAAAAAAATATCATATTAGATTTTTTTTAATGACAAGCCATATTTTTACCAGTTATATAAGTTGTATTTAAAACTTTTAATTTCATCGAGTTATATCAAAGTAACTCCTATATAGTTTAGTTTTAAATTCGAACTATATAAGAAATTAAGTTAAAACATTTTAAAATTAATTCATTAGATTAGATTTAATAATAATACTAAAATATTCCTCAAGATCTTGACATTTTTTTATTAATGCAAATTCTTTTTGGTACATAAACCCATTATTGGTTAAACTATTTTATGCAAAAACAAAAGGATATCTTAATAGAAGATCAATTTCAGTAACCTTAGTTTTGGTCAGTTAACATTATCATAAATGAAAGCTTGCTCAAAATACCTTAGCTCAAGCCTCCAATAATAGCCCAGCCCAATTAGAACTCATTCAGGATCATCAAGGCCATGAAACCCTGAACGGCCTCCCAAATCCCAAAAACTTCAATCTCCACAAAATCAAAGACCGGTTTTATTCTCTGTCCAGCGCATCTCCCTCCTTTCTAGGGTTCACCAATCCTCCTCCTTCTCCGCTGCCATCGACACAATGGATTTCATTAAAAAACGCAAAGCCGACGAAAACGGCGATTCAGTCCCCACCGGAACCACTCCCTCATCCCCAATCACGCCACTAACCCCCGAAGAAATACGTAAAATCATCGAACCATTTACCAAAGACCAACTATTAGACATCCTCCAATCCGCCACGCTCCACCATTCTGACGTCCTTAACTCTGTCCGTTCCGTAGCCGACGGCGACATTTCCCTCCGAAAGCTCTTTATTCGCGGCCTCTCTTCCGAGACAACCTCAGAAACCCTCCGAATTCTCTTTTCTTCGTCCGGAGAACTCGAAGAAGCTATTGTTATTCACGACAAGAACACAGGTAAATCGAAAGGTTTCGGGTTTATTACATTCAAACATGTAGACGCTGCTATGCTTTCGATTAGAGAACCCAGTAAAAAAATTGATGGAAGGATTACTGTTACGCAATTAGCATCGAATAATTCGAGCACTACTGATGTTTCGCTAAGGAAAGTATATGTTGGGAATGTGCCTTTTGAGGTTAGTTCTGAGAGGTTGTTGGGGTTTTTTTCTATGTATGGTGAGATTGAAGAAGGCCCGCTTGGGTTTGATAAATCGATTGGGAAATCAAAGGGTTTCGCATTTCTTATATACAAGAATGAGGAGGGGGCAAAGGCTGCTATTGCTGATCCTATGAAAAATATTGATGGGCATCAAGTTGTTTGTAAATTTGCTGCTGATAATAGGAAGGTTAATAAGAATAGTCAGGTTGGTGTGATTACACAAACATCACAACCATTAACGTATCCACCGGTGACAGGAATTTCACAAAATTACGGGCCTGCTAGTACTAATAGCTATCAGATGAATACTTCAATGACGGGTTCTGGATATAATGGTTCTTATAGGCTTCCGCCATATTTAGGGGTGGGTTTGAATGATGGTGGACTGAATAACGCAGGGGCTTCAATGTATAGGATGCCACAGGCTTCGGGTTCTGGGGTGTATCCAGATACCGGGTCTTATGCATTGCCTCAGCACCAGCAGCAACAGCAGCCATCGTCAATGTCAATGCCAATGCCAATGCCGCCTCGATTGCCACATGGAGCTGGAGGGATGTATCAGGGTATGCCACCATATTACTGAAGGTAATTATTGCTATTTATTACTTTCAATTGATTTTGTTCAATGTGTCTTTTATTTTATGTAATTTTACTGTGTCTCCCCCTCCCCCCTTTTTCCATCAAACCTGTTGTTTTGTGTATATAATTGCATTTGTTAATTTTTGGACTAATTGCCGTGTCTCTTCAATTGTCAAGAAGCCTTGTCACAGCTCAATGGATTTGACTGTGTTCTTATAGCATTTTCTTTTTTGGAAAGTGGGTTATAGATAAACAATTATAACTACATTTGTGAAAGATGAGAGTCTTCAAATCTTCCAAAGATAAACTGGACTTGTTGTATTTTGTGTTTTATGGCTTTCCACAACTGTTTTTAGCTTGTTATTCTGTCCTTTAGCCTGCATGAGCTTTATTCTACATGTTTGACATTGATGGGTGTTTGATTCAGGTGTGTGAGAGCTTCTTGGGCACAAGTTCTTTAAATGGTTGTCGTGTTTTCCTGAATGCAAGCAATGAATCTTTAATTTTATTATGTGGACTGCTGTGATCTTGTTGCTGCTTCACTTCATCTGCTTCCATAAGTTGTGGTTGGATTTGTGATGGATGCTACTTGAACTTTACTAAAGTTAGTTGATATATGTAGAACAGTGCTTTTGCAGAAGGATTGTTGGCCTTTTCTGCTATGCTGGAATTTATGCTGATGTAGATTAGAAATATCACTGTTTTTTCTGGTTCGTGCTGTTTTGTGCTGCTAAAGCAGAATTTGGTGTTTGAGTTTTTTTCATTCCCTTTACATTGCTATGGTTGTGTTAATTTTCAATTTCAATTGGTAAAGTGTATTTTTTGTTTCACTTGTTATGGTTTCCAAATAGTTCAATACCACCCCAGCGCCAAATTTTCTGCCAAGGGTTCCTTCATCGAACTTCAATACTGAAACCAAAACTTGCTCTGTCCCCCACTCTCATTGTCTCTCTGATACCCTACCTAGCCTGGCTACTATATATAAAAGCTTTCCTCCTTTCTCCTTGTTATTTAGTGTAAAATGCATTTCAGTCCCTCAGTTTGAACACCCCCCCCCCACCAAATAGACTTCTTCTATACGTGGCTGTTTATATTGTGTTGTGGTTTGGGCTTCATGAATGTAAATTGAATTACAGTGCTTCTGGCACCTTGGAGTTCAACAATTGATATTTGTGCTGCTTCTTGCATCTCCACATTTTTTCTTTTCTTCCATATAATTTGTCTGGCAGTGTTGTTCTGGTTATTGGGCTCTTTGGGTTACAGAAATATTGAATGATAGTATTTTAAGAACAATCAAAAAACAACAGAATGACTGTGAACATGTAGGACAATCAAATGGAAACACTATGCAAAAGGGTAGAAATTTCTCTGCAATATGCAGATTTGACAATATATTCCAGCCTAATAAATAAATATAACACACTTGCGTAAATTTGGTCGATATACAAGTGGAATACGCTGATTCCATCCTATGTCATCTATTGGAAATTAGTGAAAACCTGATTTTGGGTTACATAATGATGAGAGTATGGGATGTGTTGGCTTTTTTATTATCTTGGTTGATGTTTTTATAAGATGTGTCTTTGTATGTCAAGTTTTCACTGCTACCTGTTATGAGTTTGTGGCTTGCAAATCAAATTCCCCTTGTTTTATAGGGTAAATCCCTTCATTGGCCCATTTTCCCTGATGTCTGAAATTAGGTATGTGGCAGAATTGTTTTGAAAGTCTATGGTTGCATCTCATAGCCTGTGATATATGATTCAAATTATTGCTCGCACAAACTGTCATTCGGTGTTGGAACTGACAACTTCAGTGTTCTTTGCTCGTTTGTTGCCAATATTTTTGTGGTGGGGCTGTCTTACCACAAATTATATGCACATTTGAAGCTGGGTTCAAATTTGCTTTCCCATTGGAAACAAGCAACGAGGGACATCCAGTCAATGAGCAATCTGTTTCTCTAGGACATCTAAAGATTGGCTCTTCTAATGCATTTTTTGTTGCTTGAATTCTTTCAAGTTTTATAAACTTAATTTTAGGCGGAAAATCATTTTAGAATCCCATAGTTGACCTTAACTCCAGCTAGAAACAGGTCTTGCTTGAGTTCTGATCTGCTCTCTTGCAGTGGTCATTGGTTTATTTGTTTACCTGGGTTTTTTCTGTATCGAAACTGTTGAATTTGAATAACATTTAATTAAAGGTGTAATATAATTGAAGATAGTTTCAGTTCTTTATCTTATATGAAACCCAAAAATGAAACAAAATTTAGATCAATATGAATTGCACTAAGAGCTATATTACCTTTTGGTTGCAATTTTGATTGTAGATCTATACAAGCATTATAATGTTTGCACATTGATATTTTAGCAATCTTAAAATTTTAGGTTGAACCATGTAACAGTAAAGGAAATTGTTTTTGGAAAAGATATAAATGAGTCCTTAAACTATTACTTCTATGGTCATAGCTAGAAGCATATATTTATAGTTTTCTTAGGTTCTTGTTTGTGTGATATTTGTAGTAGGAGACTTTAGGTTCCTTCACAACACTGCTTTAATGCTTATGTAGATTTGCATTACATTGATTCATATTCATATAAGCATTAGAGCTGCTGTTCGCTGGCACTATAGCAGTATGACAATCTTTGGTGTTCCAGGTTGCACTGCCCATCAATCATAGGAAATGTTCTAATCAGTACCAGATAAAATTCAAGTATAATCTTAATTGGGTGTATGAATCTGAACTTCAATTAGGTTAAAGTCATTAGAGGCTTTAGGCTACATCTAATGTTTTAATGCTTACATAAATATGCTTGAAAATTGTCTATTTAAGCATTGAAGAAGTTGCCTGTTGGTGGGCTTTATGAATGTATGTGGCTTTACAAGGCCTCTGGTAATTTAGTCGTGCAAACTGTACCTGCAGTTCTGCTATTCGCATCTTTATCTCTCTCCTTGTCTTTCTATGTATCTATCTGGCAGCATTGCACTGGTTTGTGGGCTGTCGGGTTTGCAAAAACAAGGTAAAAGGGTTGAAATCTCTCTGCTATGTGCAATTTCAGTTAATGTGATCAAGGCCTAGTAAGAAAAAAATTTGACCCTTGTCTTAAACATGAAATAAATGTAACATTTGCATGTGTACTTGCTTGAGATTAAACTAGCATTAATCTATTGAAATCTGATTTGGGCATTTGATGATCCCCATTTTGAATTTGATGTGCTTTGGCATATGGAAGCATGAATAATCTTGTGATGAAGGGGAGTCATTAAGATGTTCAGTTTTCCCTATATGCTATTTGAGTTTGTGGTCCTTGTTGCCATCAGGTAAATCCATTTTCATGTCTTCTATGCTCTAAACATGAGAAATTAGCTCTGCCTGATCTGTTTTGGGAATTCTGTGTTCGCATTTTCTCACAATAAAGTTCCTTAAGCAACCTGTCTGCTGGAGATGGAAACTAATGAAAATTTAGATATACATGCATTGCTCAAGGTTTTGCTATGAGACCTCCACGGAACCTTTTTATTTTTTTGGGCAAATCTATTATATAAGCATTGAGCTTGTAGTGTGGTGGGAATGTAGCTCTCTTTAAGGGATTTCAAGTTCCCCCGCTTGGATTAAAATGCATTATATCAAGGCTTGTTATGGTATGTTCATTTTGGAACTTTAATGTTTATACAAATAGATATGAATTGCGAATTTATCTGCGTATGCAATTATCAAAGCTTGATCTTCATTTCTGTCCTACTTGTGTGTAGTGGTATTTGGTGACCCTCTAGGTTGGTCTTAAAGGTGGTGTTTGGATACTCTTCTAGGAATAAGAGATAGAGAGAGTGAAAACAGAAGAGACATGATAGAAAAGAGGACAGATAAAAAAAAATTTTTTAGGGAAATGATTGTTTTATTTAATCTATTTTAGTTTAAAAAAATATGAAAAAGTATTTTATCTTTAATATGTATTATTAAACTTATATATATATATATAGTTTATATTGTATTTTGAAATTAATAATATTATAATAACTCTAATTATAAAATAAGGACTGACTTGATTTAATCTGATTAAAAACCCAAGTCAAATTAGGAAAAAACATTAATTAAAAATGTGTAGAGTTTTTGAATTTTTTTTTTTCAAAACAAGATTATTGTGATTATTTAAGTAAACAAATTCGGTTAGTCAGGTTGACTTTTATAATTTGTGAGATGAATTTTGTCTCGTGATGATTTTTAAATTAAGTTTTAGAATTATGATAGTATCCTCTTTTACTTATATGTTAATTTAGGTTCATTCGTGCTATTCTTTATGATTTGTGATTTAAGTTTTGTCTTAGTTGATTCTCAAATTAAATTTTAAAATTATAATAATAATTTTTATCATTGTATAAATATATGTTAATTTTTTATAATTATAATAATAATTACTTTTATTATATGTTGACTAAACATATCTAGGCCTTGGCTTAGGTTGACCTTCAAGTAGGTTTCAAGTAGGGGGTTTCAAGTAGGGTTTTAAAACGATGTAAATAATTATGTCCTTGTTGATCCCAATTCAATGGTTAACTCTATTTGTAATTTGGGTTGGTTCTAAATTAAGTTTTGAAAATATAATAATAATCACTTTACATTGACTCGGGTTAATCTTGATGAAGCTAACCAAAGACATGTTTGCTAATAAAAAATATAAAAATTCAATTTAAAATTATTTTAAGGATAAATTTAATTTTATGTTTTTGTTTTTGTTTTTTTCAATTAAATATATTTTGTTCTGTATTTTTGAAGTAGTTTTAGGATAATAACTAAATGGTAGCTCATAGTTTTATAATTTATGTAATAGATAAAGCTAAACAATTGGATTTGAATGATATTAAATGGGTCTACAAGTCTTAATTACATATAGACTTCAGATTTGGTCTTTTGCTACGGGTTGTTTTAGTGGTGCTTCTTATGGATGGCCGAGATGAAGGAGCCTGCTTTGTACGGTCTAGAAGTGGACGAAACAGCATGCACAGGAAAGTTATGGTGTCGGGGTAGAGATCTTTCAACCGAAATACCTTTTTGCTGTTACTTTTTTAAGGCTCCATGTTTTGCAACTTGCACCTTCTAGTTTGGGCCTTTTAACATTGTAATATGTTTTTGCTTATGAATGGGTCAGCAAAAATAAAAATAAAAATGTAGGTGACCAGACATAAAAGTTTTCATACTTGTCCATTGTTCTCAAAATGTTTGTTCCTTGTTCCTTGGAACATCTACTGGTCATTTGACTTGTGCTTTGTTGCTCGTGAATATATAAACACTTTAAAATCACTTATATATATATATAATGAGAATTAAATGTGTTACTAAATACTAAAAAGACTAGTTAACACAGCGTTGTATATAAGAATTCAAGTTAATTTTTTAATGTAATAGAAAAACATGACAATGTTTATGGTGTGTTCTATTATATTATGATTTTTTTAATTGTGAAACATGAAGATGTTTACTTGTTCATGCTAAAATAAAAGAAACTCGTATTTCTTATATATTTTCAATAATCCTATAATTATAACATTGAAGGTTTTTTAATTATTATTCACTAACTATGAAATCAAAGAGGAAAACTTAAAAAGAATATTTTTATTGATAATTTCAAGTTCAATTTGAAAAGTTTTTACCATTTTTTTTTTCAATTGTTTTTCCTTTTCATCATCAATACTTATCTCTTAAACTCCTCTTCTCCAACCAAGTTTTTTAATTTAGACCTAAATATATCTCTCCTCACATGTCTATTTGTAAGTTTTAATCTCATAATTTTAGAAGAGTTTCTTAGATGATTTTGAAGAGACGTAAAAGTGAAGCTTTTTCTCTCTTTTTTTAGTTGTTGTTCAGCAATTACAGTTTTTATATTAGGCTTTCTAGGTAAATTACTATTATCTGCAATTATCTTTTTAATTCTGATTTATTGCACAGACCTAACATTGTGTCTTTATTTTTAGGATTTTTTCAAATTCTGATTGACTTCAAAATTTAAACTCATGGTAAAACAATATTTCATAAGATTCCATGTAAAATTTTAGTCCAATCCAACAATCAGATTGAGAGATATATTTAATATTATAAAATTAGATAGTTGGTAATTTCACAAAAATCCGAATTTATATACTATATAATTTACTTAAATTATTAGGGGTCTTAGATTAATTATTTAGAGATTTTTATTCATAATTATTATAAAAATATCCTTAGATTTTCTTATATTTTTGTCTTAATAGTGTGATTGTGCTTTAGATTTTTACCAAATTCAACATTGCTCAAGCAAAGGGTCATGCATTAATTTATTTGACATTTCCTTCTACTTTACACATAATTTCACCCAATTTACAAAATTTTACACTTCAAATAATTATTTTTACTTGTTCGAGAGATTTTCATGATTTATCATTAGTTAATATTTCACATGATCTATTACTTTATCTTTTCTAATTCTTAAATTAATTTCTTGGAAATGTTCACCCCGGTTCATAAGATTTTCTTTTCAATTTATCATTTATCATTTAATAGTTACTTGTTTAACATAGATTTATCTATATTTTGACCGGGGTTTACATAAGGGGTGAGTAATTAGTTCGTCAAACTCGCAACTCAGGTTATAAAACCAATATAATCTAATATTAACAAATTTAAAGAAAACCAAAAAACCAATATTTTTTTAATAAAAAACTAATGTCAATTAATGAAACTAGAAAAGAAAATAAGCTAAAAAATGATGTTAATCCACATTAACTTTTCATATTTTTAACCTAGATCATTAGACTAGAGACAATAGATATATATATAAAAAAAGAAGCTCAATCCCTAATAAATCAAACGTGAAAGGATGAAACTAGAAAACGAAATAAATTTCACAAAATGATTTAAAATAAATAATTATAATTAAATGAATGACTGTGAAAATCAAGATAAAAAAATAAATTAGAGGGCAACCTAAAAAAAATTATTGGAGGATTAAATTGAAAAGAAAAAAATTTAATAAAGGAAAAAAATAAAAAAATAAGGACCATGGTAGAAAAAAATAATATACCATAAAACTAGATTGAAAGATAAAATAAAAAAATAATAAAACTTTTACAGAAGGGTCAATGAAAAAATTAAAAATATAAAGAATGATAACCAAATTGAAAAAAATAATATGCAATCTACAATTGAAATATTAAATTAAAAATAAATAAAACTTTTATAAAAATAATATTAATAAAAATTAAAAAAAACAAGGACTAAAACTGAAATTCCAAAAACAAAGATGCCCAACATGTACTTTTTAAGAAGGAGAAAGACAAAAATAAAAATGGACTTAACAATAATAAATCATCTTACTATTACTAACATGCACTCCACCTAGAAGAAAAGGACTCTGTGATGTTTCCTATGATACTATAAAAAAATAAATCTGATTATTGGGAAGCGTCGTATATATTGTCTAAAAGACATGGACATCTTTTACGTGCTAGTAATTTTATTATTATTTTTATATTGGTTATTTGAAAAATAAAAAGATCAAAATTTTGTTTGAACTTAATCAGAAAACCTTTGTGAAATGATGAAAAAACCCTTGGACATATGGGTTATCTTTTCATTATAATATAAAAAATTCTCATTATAAAAAAAAAAAAAAAAACCGAAATTTTGGTTGAGTTAGTATATGTTGTTTTTCTGTTAATCAAATCTTTTTTCTTTTCTTTTTTCCTTGTTAATTACTACTTAAAAATTAACAACAAAGCAAAATACACTGCTCTCTCTGTATACGAGGGTTAGGGCAGGAGAGGAGAGTGGAGTGAGCGTTCGGCTTTCACTATAATACTTAAAAGCTTCTGTGACCAGTGCGTGTAGGGGGCAGCAGGACTTTCTGAACGGACACCCTTTCTCTTCTTTTTGTCATCAATAACAACCCTCTATTTTGTTTCTCTTTCCCCTTCTTTTCCAGTTACAAAAGAAAGATACTTTTGCTTTCTTTTTGTTCAGTACAGGAAACAATTCTTCTTCTTCTACTTCTTTTGTTTTTTGGTTTAAGGCATCAATATATAAATATATTTTGGCTTATGGCAATCAACATGTAAGTGTTCAAACTTCAAGCTTGATAATTTAGTTTTTTCATTAATTAATGTGGGTCTTGTATTTTCTTTTCTCTTTGTCTTTAATTTTGCATGCTGATCATCCGAACTTTGTTTTGTTTTTTTTTTCTTTTCCTCCTTCTTTTATGCTTGTTGGCTGTGTCTCTGGACTGCTTTTATTCGTGATTATCAGTGGTCATTGGAGTTTTGTGACTCCAGCGTTTTCCAGCTTATGGATTCTCTTTAATTACTTTGCTTGGCTCATGGGTTTTAATTATTTCTTACTCTGTCTCTTTGATAGTTTTGTTATTGTAGAATTGTTGATGAATTTGTAAACTTTTCAGTAATCTGACTACAGCTGATTATGACATTCTCAGTAGGAGGTGAAGGAACAACAACTTCCATATCTAAAAGCAGAATACTGCCAAGTTGTTTTTGTTGATGCGGTAAACAGAAAGTAAAAGCTATGGCCTGGATGCAAAATATGTACAGGAAGTTTGAAGCTATGTGTTTGGAGTTGGATTGCATCTTGGAGCAGGTATTTTTGAAATTTATGCAATTAAAATCCCTTTAAAATATTCCAGCCATGATTATTTATTGTTATTATGTGCATTCTACTGATTTTTTTTGCTTGACTGAACTTTTACTGATTGTCTTTCTAAATGAATTGTGTATGTGAAGCATAGATATTTTAATTTCATCAAAATAAAAGGTAAGGAAAAGTACAGTCTTAGTATGTGTAAATAGTTTGCACTATCTACCCACCATTGAGCAGCAAAGAGGATGCTACATGCCCGAAGCACCCATGCCTACATAATGCGATAAACATTATTGCGAGCAAACCCTTCCTGCGGCTCACTAAAGAGAAAGGCTCACCTTTGAGCAGATGAGTGTTTCTTTGCTCTGATGAATAGACCACTTTAAACCTCGCATCGTTCATTACAGAGTTCCTTATCAGCTCTATATCCTGATACAGTAAGATAATATAAGATAATCTAGTTTCCTCAAGCATAAAAAATTTAGGTCATAATGCAAGTTCAAAGTGGTTTATCAAGTCATTTATAAAATCAAGAATTTTTTTTATTAATTTTCTGCATTGTTTTCATTTTAATTTGTTACAATTTATTCTGATGTGATTGCGCTAATTTTGCTTTAAAGCCTTCATGTTGCTTGCTTGCTGCTCAATTCCAGCTTTAGCTGCAGTTAGCTCTGCCAAAACATCTCTCATGAAATTGAATACCTTCTTGGACAGGAAGGGTTGGAATATGTGAACCAATTGCAGACAACAGGTGCCAATGTCAAGCAATTTTGCTCAGAAATCATGCGAGAAGTGCTGCCTAAGCCTGCTGAGGATACCGTGGATGGTGTAGCTAGTGACTCTTGCCAAATGAAAAACACTGAGGTGGATAAAATGTCAAAAGAAGGTATTGCCCAAGACCATTATGATACGGAACCTTGCAATTTGAGGCAACCGCTTTGTTCATTTTCTGTTGAACCTATCAAGGCCACAAAGGATGATCTGTCTTTGGAGGAAATGGTTGTTGCTGAGATACATGAAAAATTAGTGTCACGTTTTAAGGAAATTCATTCCGAGGGAAAGCAAGTTCAGCCGGAGAAGTTAGATACCCCAGAAGAGAAAGATCTGAGCATTGCAGTGTTATCCTCAACATCTTATGATCTACTAGAAAGTAACTCTCTCACAGAAGTAATTCCAATAGACAAGCCATCTTCAAAATCTGTTAATTTGGTTTATTCCAACGAAAGCAAGGTTCCAGAATTGGGATTTACTTCCAGTGAAACCTCAGCTGAATCAATCAGTAAGTATTTCCCTCAACATTTGCGTAGCTACACTTTCACTTTTCCTTTCCTTCCATTGATATCTGCATTGGTTGGCCTACAAACTGATGTAGCCCGTTGACCACATTAGTGCCAGAACCTTCTCTTCACGAGTTGAGCCATACTATGATTATTCCAAGCCAGATCACATTGTCTTCTCTTGAAACTGGTATCCAAATGTTTCTTCCATTATGATGAATGTGGCCCCCCTTTCTCCAGTGTGAGATTTTTTTAAATGCTTTACTTGATATCTCACGCTATTATATTCCACACTTTCCCTTTCCTAGTTGGAGCTGCTGTTATCTTATGCCTTTGACTAACTATTTGTTTGTCTTAATTTAGCTGACATTGTGAGCCAAGAAAGGAGCAATTATGATAAAATTTACTTTTCATATCTTCTCATAGGACAATTAGACAACTCTACTGAAGATGCTGCCAAGCTGGGGTTATCGTGTTCATGTACAGTGAAGCTTGATGGGAGTTGCTTTATAATATATTGTAATGAACTTTCTTCTGTTTCCTTTGAAGCAGGACAACTTTGGTCTTCCAAGGTATGACTTCCTGTCAAATTCGTAAGGTTACTTCTACTTCAAGGAGAAAACTCATGAAAGCTTAAATATACAACCCTTTGAAATAAGAGCCTTTGGGCATCCTTCGAGTTTGAAATGAGCCACTGAACTATTGAAGGTTGAAACTTTTGATACCTGATGTTTCTTCTCTCTTTTTTTTTCTTGCAGGAAAGGACAGCGAATCAAGTTTTCAATCAGGGACCAGCTCAGTACAGAAATCTCGGTCCAGAATCGAGTCATCGGAGAGAAGGTTTTGCATCATCTTTTATTACCACACCTGATGACAGTTTCCCTGATTCCGAGTGGGTGATAGTCTAGATATATTAACATATGATGAACTCGGTAACTTGAAGTGATTATGTTGTCTAACTCGTGCACATAAGAGATGGAAATATCTCTCGTTTCAGATGCTTTGATTGAATTCGGCTAGTACATTCCTGATAATTTGTATAGAGGTCGAGAGAGATTTCGGTCCCTTCAAAACTCGAGTGAGTCCATCGTTGTCTAAGCAATGGAACCATTTACTTGTGAATAAATAGTATTGCAGCACCGTGTTGATGTTTTTTTCATGATTGCAGGGCTCTGTGCAATGTCTCTGGTTCGAGAAAAGTAGTGACTGTAGTTGGCTTCCTATTGTCGAAGGAAAATGTTATATTTTTTGCCTTTTCATATCTGGTTAATATCATTAATTCATCTGTTATTTATAATTATATAAAAAAATATTATTTTTACAAGTTAATGAGAGTTATTTTATAATGAATAATTTCATTTTTATGGCATAGATATAATTTGCTTTTGTTAAATTATAATATGTACTATGCGTTTAAATGACTATAGATGCATATTTTATTTTCTAAAATAAAAAAAAAAAACTCATTTTTTTATAACAAATTCTGAAATTCTTCATTGAAAAATTGGACAGGAGATTAATTAATGTATAAAAGGATCTATTGAGAATTTTTTACATTAACATGTTTGGTCGGTCTCATGCTATCCCCGGTCCACTCCTACCTTAAAAATTGGGCATCCATCTCAGATTTTAGAACGACCATTTGGGCGAAGTACAGGCATGCCCTTCAACCATTTCTCGGTTTCCATTAGATCCTCTTTTTCTTACATGAAAAAAATATCCAAACGGTAATAACATGTTAGAACTTGAGAAAACATAATTAATCTATGACAAAAAATAACCATAGAGGAAGGAAAAAATTAATTTTAAAAAAGAAATGTAGAAGAAAAAACTTGAGTCAACCTGGGTTCACTAACCTACATTTTATGGCATTAGATTGGGATAAAAAATTTAATTTCTTTTTAAAATGTGTTAAAAAAGATTAAGTTTAAATAAATAAATAAATATAAAAACCCTAGTTGCACTAAATTAACCTAATGAACTTACAGTCTAAGACAACCATATTGATATGAAAAACATAAAAGATAAGAGATCTCAAGACCTAATTGCCCAACATTAAAAGATGAAATTAAAAAAAAAATTAAAGCAACTTGGATTAACTTGACTAACCCACTATTATCTAGGATAACCTTAAAGGAAGGAAAGAGAAAAAAAATAGAACTTAAGGTACAATAATCTAATGTTAAATAATGAAATTAATTTCTTTTAAGATATTAAAATTAAATCAAGCTAATTTTCAAAATTAGCAACCCTTATTATGAGACCGAGAGGACCGACTTGCAGGAGATAAGAAAAAAATCTTGAACCTTAACCATAAAAAAATAAAAAATAAAACAAGTAGTAATCAAAATAATGAGGATCAAGATCAAATTTGGTATAAAAACTAAAAAAAATAATAAGAGATTTAATCAAAAAATAAAAAATAAGAAAAAGATTAAAAAATAATTAAAAAATAATGACCAAAATTGAATAAAAAATGAATGAAGTAAATTGTTAAAGGACAAATTAAAAGAAAAAAACAAAATAAAAAAGGATAAAAAAAAGAGCAATTAAAAGAGTGAGGATAAAATATGAAAAAAAAAGAAATAAAATATTAAGGAATAAAATTGAAAGAAAAAAACAAATCAAGAAAAGAATAGAAAAATAATAATAAAAAAAATAAGTATCAAATTGATATAAAAACTAAAAAAATCAATCGAAAATGGATGGAATTAAAAAATAAAATCTAAAAAAGATTCCAAAACAAATAAACACCAATTAAAAAGACAAAGGAGCATAATTGGAAGACAAAATAATGGGAGGACAACCCTGAATTTTTGTTGACAAGATATGAATTTCAGGGAGAGAGGAGAGAAAATAACAATAAAAGAAAAAAATCTAATTGTTACTAAACTGTCATAATTTGAACAACACCTTTACCTCCACTAGAAGCTTTCGACGACATATACAATGATTGAGAAATTTTGATTGTTGTACGATACCATATATGCCAACAAAATCAAGAGAAAAATATCAAAATACCATTTGACTCATCTTTTATTTATTTTTTACTTTAAGGACTATGAAGTGATTGCACTATTTAAAAAAAAAAAAATTGTGCAAAGCCCTAGTAGTCTCTTTTTTTTTCCTTTTAAGAGTATTTATGTAATTCAATTGTGAAAAAAATATAAATTATTAAATTATTCTTGATTAATTTGCAAATAACATCTAGATCCTATAGAAAATATCATTTTACCCTCACCAATAAGGTAAAAAATGTGTATAAAAGGGAAAAATAATATTTATATTATGTAAATCCACAATAAATTACCTCACATGCTACAATAGAAGACCTTTTATAGTTTTGTTTTAAATGAGATTTCTACCATTGTTTTATATTCTTTAAGACTTTTATTTTTTTTTGTTACCGGTCTATTGTTCTTTAAAATGATCTTCCTCCCCAACACCTCCTTATTCCTCTTAATTATTAAATATTGAGAATTTTATGAATATTTCCGTTGTATATATTTTTTAAGATTTTTTTCCTTTTAAATTTAATCAAATAATTCTCATATTTCACTTTCACCTATAGTAGATAGATGGATTCACTTTCAAGTTGTGCTTCTTAGTGAAATGATATTTATTTTGTATGGTGTGTGCTTTTATTTCTATTATGTAATTAAAATGAATAGTATTATTAAATTGTCGTGATTATTTAAGATTTTTGATAGATCTTTAAAAAAGTTTGATATTGTAGTACCTATGTGTTTTATTAGTCAGTTCATTATCATCATTCTTCTTAATCATATGTGGTGGTGAAAGGGAAAAATTTTAGTTGGTAATTAATGGTTTAGTCTAATTAGAGGATGAGCTTTTAAGCATAGAAGATACTATCTTTTTATTCTTCAAAGGACAATATTCTTATGCCACCATTACTAGATTTAGTTATAGTGTGATAACTTTTGTGTGCAATTAAAACATAAGGCGATTGAGTCATTATTTATTTATTCATTACAGACTCATTAATACACATAATATTTTTAACATGGTTCAAGACCTTGCATACGTTCACATAGCAACCAATATATTAAATATGAAGAGAAAAAGCATATTACAATTGTCATAATCCAAATTTAGGTTTCTCTAAAATTTCTCATTTTTCATGTTAAGAAATATATTTTTCTTTCAAAAAAATATAAAAAAATAAAAAGTAAAAAAAATAACACTTTAAATCAATTAGGCATGCATAACTATTCAGAATGCTAGGTGGATGGACAATTTAGGGTCTTATTGAAGAAATATTGAAAAATGGATTAAAAATGTGGTCAAAACTATACTAATTAAAAGTTTGAGGACCAACATGGACAAGATTATAAAGTCTAGCTATTCAATTTTGAGAGCTTAATTCGCTCAATTAAGGTGAAATTAAAGTTAATTAAGAAATAAATTAAAGAAATTTAAAATCAAGAATTAAGGAACGTGGAAATCTAAGGATCTAATTAAAAAATTCTAAGATGAAATTAAAAAGATTATAAAAGATAAGGATCCTTTTAGGCTTGATTAAAAGGTTTTAAAAGTTCAAAGGAAAAATTAAAAGAAAAAAAAATTAATCTTATTCCTTTTAGAGGATGATTTTTCGTTTGATTTTAAACTAAGGTCCTGAACAACCTGTTGTTTAAATATTGTTCATTTTTTTTCTTGTTTTTAAACTAAAGAAGTTGCCCAATAAACTTATATCCTTGTTCAACTTAATTTTTCCACCAAAACACACCAAATCATGAACCAAATTAGCTCTTTTAAATCTCATTATTTGAGATAATAAGTATATGGGTTTTAATATCATGTTTTATTTGTCAATTTCCCTTTTATTTCTAAAAAAAAGAGATTAATTAATTAGGATTTTTCATCCAAGAATCTAAAAACAATTTCCATATTGTACTTGTTTTGACATGATAAAAAATAAAAATGTTTGTCTTGACATTTTTTTCATCATTAGCATTTTTTTTCTAAAAAAATAGAAAGTAAAATTTGCATTTTTTAGAGTTAATGTCTTTATAAAAAATATTTTGGTGTTAACATATTCTCAAAGTATATCTTTCTTGCATATTTATTAGGATTTAATAACTAATTTATTAAATTTATTAGAATTTGGCTATAATTAAAAGGTCCATTACGCCTACATATCTAAATTTTTAAAATAATAAAATCCCTAACCCAATCTATATAAATAAAAAAAACACTTCTTTTTACCATGTTTGAGGCTATTGGACTTATAACGAGCCACCGCCTTGAACAATAAAAAATAATAATACTACAATGCTTGAATTTTAAAGAAATTAAAAAAATTGAATTCAATTTTTTTTAGTGTATTCACGATGCCAAAGTCAGAAATACCTACATGGATTGATATCCATTAATGCCAAAATTGAGAATATCATCTTAATATCCACTAACACCAAAGCTATGGATATTTGAATTTACTAATGTTAAAATTAGAAATACTCTCGATATTTACTAACACTAGAGTTAGAAATATCGACACTAGAATTAGAAATAACTTTGAACCCCAAATGCTTACAATGTCAAAGTTAGGAATATCATTCATTTTCTTCATATAATACTTATTAGTGCTAGCGTAGAAAGTATTTTAGTGAATATTCACTGACATCAAAATCAGAAATATTCTAGGCAATTCATCAATAACACAACACAACATACTTGTAGTAATTTAAAACAAAACCAGTAATACAACCTACTTTAGGTATGATGTTTTAAGGGTGATAAGATCTTCTCTTTAGCATAATCAGTCCCGTATCATAGAATCTCTGTTGACTGGTCAATGTTTCTAGTAACCATAATATTAGATAATGACTCCATAAACTAAACATTTCCCATAGAAAACATAGGATTCCAAATGTCTATTTTTTTTAAAAAAAAATTGTTATGATATTAGGTAGTGACAATAAACAATAAAGGAGGAGGAATAACTCATCTCATCTCAATTCAACTCAACTTTTATCTCTCTTTTCTCATTAGGCAATGGCTAATAGTGCAACCACTATACTATCCATGTTAGCTCTCTCAACCTCTAATTTTTTGTTTCACTCTTAATATGTTTACTTTAGCTTTGCTATTAAAACTCTCTATTTATAGGCAAGATGGATGGCGCACCATGTCACTAATATTGCTACCAACCATTAACTGCTAAAAAATAGTTATATCGTTGCCAACCACTATAATTGGTGCTATTTGTGTCATAGTCTAACAATCTCCCACATTATACAACTCGCACCTAACATGTCTTTTATCCATGATGACTTACTGAACCTTTACACGACTTCAGTCCTCATCCTTTGAGGACTGACTTAAAATAGTCATTACCCTTATCCTTTAGAGACTGACTTAAAATAGCCATTACCAGGCTAAATCCTATTTGATTTAAGCATTATGCCTCACAAATAAAGTCATCTCTAAGGCATTTATACTAATCATGTCCAAGAACTTTATTGTAAAGCTTTCAGGTACCTGTCCAATCTTTTCATAACCAAAATATTTACATATCTCTAACAATACTACATTTCCCTATGGAGTTTCATAACACTACTCTATCTAAAATGATTTAAGCAATCTCTACCCAGTTACTTCCAAGTATGTTGATCAATGACTAAGTATTATAATGTAATCAAAAGCTCACCATTCTTTCAAGAGTCTTTTCATCTAGGAGTCGTGCCTTTTGTTTCATCTCAGGAGTTACATCTTATATCTTTATGAGTGATTTGCTCGTCTAAAAACCATGTCTATTATTCTATCATAAAAACCACATCTTATTTCTTCACGAGTCATTTGATTTTACAGAAAAAATTTAACTCATTTTTTCACTTCATTATAGATTTAAACCATTAAAGTCTCTCCACATATTTTTTTTATACTCAGTTTATCCAATACTCCACTATTGACTTTGTATTTGTTATATCCACTCATTTACAATCATATATCATCTTCTAAGAGACCTGTCCTTAAAGGCCCTCACACCTTTTCACTAAGGTGTTTTCACCTATTATCATAAGACGTTTACATCCTTTTTGATTTGGGATGCCTCGAAATGACCCTAACATCTTCTACCACAATGTATACTATAAGAGGGATTGCTGCTACTGATCAATTAGAAAGAGAGAGTCATTGTATACCCTTTACAACCCTTTACCTTGATCTCTATGTTTGAAGCTTTTATGTCTTTCATCATCATAGTTGCGCCAATTTATTCAGGATGTTTAGTGGCTTAATTCATGCCTTTAAACTAAAGTGTTTTTGCCTTTATCATAGACGGTGACATATTCTCAATTGGGTGTCAGTGCAATAACTCTTCTTTTCATATTTATATATATTAGAGAGGCACATGATATTGTCTTCATCAAGAGTATATAAGAAATTTCACTTTACATCCTTAACATAGTCTATACAATAAGATTCATTGTGAAGACTTCTTTGATTGTATTTGTCTTATTTTGGTACCATATTATATCTTATAGGTACTCATGCATAATTTCCATATGCTTTCATGTGATTTCTATTCACCAAATTCTTTTTTATTGCTTACCTATGTTCGACAAGACCTCATCTTATCATAACACTTATTCAAGTCAAAATAATGTGCCAACATTTATCATTTTTTTAAATTTCTCTTACTTCATAAAGGACTTTATTGGTTCTACCCTTAAGAAATCATAGTTACCAAATTTATCATCTTTGGAGAAACTAATGCTTTATCAAATCCTTGAACATACAGAACTCTGAATGTTCTTTTTATTGTTATCTTCTTAGACTACAATTGTTTCATTACAAACTATTATATATATGAAAATAACTCTATATAGATAATACTTCTACTAAATATGTTAGAAAATATTTAGATAGAACTTCTTAGGCTATATTTATCCATCGTATCAAGTTTCCATATATATAACCAATGCAAACTATGTTACTATACTTGACAATTCTTCCATCATATAGTTGTAAAATTTCCCTTGTGACTCAATCACAAGTGATTTAGAATTTAATGGGTTATTTATCCATCTGATTTCTATATATCTTGTAAGATTATTAGTGCTTTAAATTCATCAATAGTGGTCTCATATTCATCATTACTCTACACCCTGATCTTTTATGTTCTACATTACCAAATGTTCAAACTATCCTAATTTTATCTTCCCTTGAGGCTATTAAATCCCCCATTGCAATCTATCATATGCATTGGGCTAATATATGCAACCTTTTCTTTCGACCAAAAAATGACATTCACATGCCCCTTCTAATAAGATAATCAATCTTATTATATCATAATCAGATTGAATCATTGCATCTAAAATGATTAGATTAACTGAAAACAAGTTTGAATTCGTCCTAATTACATTCCAAACTGCTAAGATTTAATCAAAATAATTATGGCATAATGAATGATCCTAATTCAACAACAAATATGGTTACATATAGGATCACACATATTTGATTCTATCACTCGGCTCATGGCTCACTAATTATATGATGATATCCTCCTCCTGTTTTTAGGTCAACCAATGTAAATCAGATAATTTATTCGGATTGGGTAATTATATCGGATTAAACTCTTTCTTATTCACCTGTTTTGACTTTTATGGGCAAATCTTGACCGGTTAGTGTGACTTTGTTTTATCTTTGATTTGCTTGATTTTTACATCATTGGAATCCTTTAGATGAGTAATTTCTTGTAGTGCATTCAAAACACATTTTTAAGTACCTTGGTTTTTGGGAAAAAAACCATATCAAACTAGTGGCTTTTATTCTAATTTTTTATGCGCAGTAAGCACGAGTTGGTCATGTCATTGATTTTTGAACTTTCAATTATTCATAACTTTATTGCTAATAGGTAACTCATTAAAAATAATTTCAAAAGAGATATCAAATTAGAAATTTGTTTAAGCTTTAACATTTCTTTTTATTGGGTGTTATTGAGATTCTTTAATCAATTTAAATTTAGGTTATTGTAGTTTTATTTTTTTATATTAACTCAAAAACAAATAAAAAATCTCATTAGAAAACATTTTCCTTAAAAAACATCAACATTAAGTATATATATATATATATATTTTTTATTGATATTATCTGGCATAATTAAGAGCTCTAATTAAAGTGATAGTAATTTGCTTTTATTGTTACTTTACCCATGCCCATTTAGCTTTTCAACTATAAGGATGATAAAATAAGATACCACATTTCCTTGTTATATTGAACTTTTGTAGATGAAATTAAAAGAAAAATAAAAAAATAAAACAAACTTGAAAAACATTAAGAGCATGTTTATAATCTTTTAATTGAATTCAATTAAGAGGTATTAATGAAAGCTCATGTTTTAAATCATTTTTGAATGTTAAGTATAGAATTTTAAATGTAATTTAATTTTTAAATATAGTACCAAAATAAAATTAAAATCAACCTCTTTGATTTATTACGAAAAATTATTGTTAAAACTAGCTTTTCAAAATAACTACCTACCCATATCTTTTTTAAAGACATTTGAAGAAATAAAATTATTAATAAATGAATTAAATTCCATCTTTTTTAAACATGTAAATCAACTTATTTATTAATTAAATTTAAATTAAATACTATAATTGAACAAAAAATTGATTTTAAATAACCTCTCAAAAGATACCAAGATAACAAAATTTACCATTTGAATGGGAAAAAAAATTCATCCTCTATTTTTATTTTGGGTAGAAAAAAATGTGATTGAAAATACAAAAACCACTAAATTAAAAAAAAATGAGAATTTATTTATCTAACAACAAAAAATAATATAATATAGGTGGTGATGTAAGTAGGTTTGTTGGTTGGAGAGAGGAAATCGCGGGAATATGGCGGACAGTTGTTTGGGACCCCTGATTTCCAAGGCCTCCTCCCCCTCTCTTCTCTTCCAATCTCCTCCTCAATTACTCTTCCCTTTCTCTTCATTCCCTAAGCCAATGCCAAAACCTCTTGTTCTATCCATGACTTCCCTTCAATGCTCACCCTCCCCCTCCCCCTTTTCAAATTCAAGCCCTAGGCCCTCACAACCCTCCCTCCTCGTCTTCTCAGGTCTCTACTATACTTCCTCATTCTTCAATTAGATCCAAAAATTATGATTAATTTTTAATGCATATGCAGGTGGTACTGCGTTTAATGGCGTAGTGGAAGAACTGAAGAAATTAACAACGAGTGTTGCTCACGTTCTCCCTGTTTCTGATGATGGTGGAAGCACTGCTGAGATTGTCCGCGTGCTCGGTAAATAGCAGACACACCTTTTCTTTTTCTCTTTTCCGGTATGATTGATACACTCTAAACTGTAACTTAGGTGGTCCTGCGGTTGGAGATATTCGGTCGAGGTGTTTAAGATTGTCTGATCAAAGTAGTGCTGAAGCTCTTGCTGTCAGAAGATTGCTTGGGCATCGCTTACCTCTTGATCCCCAAGATTCCAAATCCCAATGGTAATAACATGTCTTGTGAATTTGGTTGATTTCTTAATTTAAATATATATAGCATTAAACGCATTTCAATTTGAAGCACTTCTCCTTTTAAGTCGTAATATTCATCTTACTAATCGGTTCCAAAATGTGTTTCTTCGCATAACTTGGATTTACACTAATTTATCCTTATGTGTTTGTGCATTTCAACGCTTTCTTGGTTGCTTTTCATATTTGACTTTTCCCCTCATGAAATCAGTGTAAAAAATTGTAGGAAATTTGAGAAAAAAGGAAAAGAGAAAGTTGTTAAAAGTGCTGGACCGGTTGTCTTTGAACATAAAATATTAGAGAAAAAGTTTGATGTGCAAAAACTTGATGGTCCAGTAATGTTGTATTTTGTGCTTAGGTATATTTTGTTTATGTAAAAGGTGTCTTGAAATTCCTTAAATTACTTTGTTGTCTACTATTAAATTCAGTTTTATAGGTTCTGTCCTGAATTTCTGTTTTTTTACTTGCTAGGTATATATATGGTGTGGGTATTGAATAACAGTGTGCTGAGTTGGAATTTGGCAGGTATGATATTGTAGGAGGAGAACACTCTTTATGGAAAGGCGTATCAAAACCATATAGTGAAACAATTCGAGCTTTTCTTGTTTATTTCCAAAATGAGGTAGGCTAAGCTGAAAATGATACTGGATTGTCCCTTTATTGCCATTTCATCTTGTTGATTTTCATGCAACATGCGTCTTGCATACCTATTAACTATGTCATTGAAGGTCTATGGACTTTAACGTAAACTTTCTACAAAATGAGAGGAACTTCTATGTGAGAGATGAAGTGGTTAATATTGGTGATAGGGTATAGGAAAGTTAATGGTGACACCTCTTAATTTTGTTCTTCTTTTGAAAGTTTCCTGGATGTCATTATTTATTTATTTATTTTGCTTCTTCTCCAGATTGGTTCCAACTTTTGTATGTGTTGTTTCTGTCAAATGCTTTAGTACTTGTTAGAACTTGTGAAATAATGTTAGTATGAAATCAATAAATGTTTTGTGAATGCAGATCCTGCGTCGGCCTAATGAATCATTTTGCTTTAGTAATGGCAGGTACTTGTATCCAATTGTAATTATGTCTTGCTACTTTCTGTTTTGTGGTGTCTCAGTGCTGTTTATATTTGGAATATTGATGATAATGTTCTTGAGTAGGCTTCCTATTCCACCAATATTTAGGAGTGATTTGCCCTGAAGTCTATGTATTCTAGAGAATCATATGTTCTTGGATAATTTTTGTTGTTTCCTTAAGGTTTTCCCCATTCTGGACAAAGCTTTCCACCTTAAATTTCTCTGTGTTTTTTGAAGCTTTTTAGACAATCATGACTTAACTGACATGCTTCTTTTTTGCAGCATTGGGAATTTTTTCTTTGCAGGTGCACGCATATTTTTTCAATCTTTAGATGCTGCTATATTTTTATTTTCACGTGTTTCAGATATTCCAGCAGAAAGTCTGGTTCTTCCAGTCATCTCAACAAATGACAGGCTTACATTAGGATGCGAATTATGGGTATTGCTACTACTTTATGTTAAGTGTGTATGCTTGTGACATATGCAGATTATACTGTATAACATTTCCAAATTTATTTTTTGTAATTGCAACCTAGGTCATTGATCTGTAGCTGTTTACTGATTTTTTACAATTGGAGAACATGTTTTGCATGACAAGTAATTCTTACAATGTAAATTGTATTTTTATTTTCTAAAGTTTTCTTGGTTTATAATGCTCTCTTGCAATTATGCTGCTATTTCTTTTTGAAAGATGATGCCATCAGACAAGAGAGAGAAAATTTATGTAACATCAAAACTAAAACCACTTATATGCTCGGCAATTTTTTATACAGCATCTTTCTTTCTTATCTAATATTTTAGTAATTTATGTTAGGATGGGACTATTATTCGAGGACAGAATGAGATTTCACATCCAACCAGTGGAACCATGCAACCCATTGATAAGGTATTGTTGTTTAGCTATGCGACTTGAAGTACATTTAGTTTTCAATTAGTTAATGTATCAACATTTTACTGAGAATTTCCAAATAGGGATTGCCGAGAATATCTTATTTGGCTGCAAATTAGTAGTTTATGGAGGTATTGTGTGCTGCAATTGAAGTGATGATGAAACTATCTTGTCAAAAGTTCCATGTGCTTGATGGCATCAAGTCTGATTATTCATGGTGGTTGGGTGTTAAGGAATGTCCTTAACAATGGTGGTTTGTAGTTTTAGAAAGGAAGGTTGAGAAGTAGAAGAAAGAGAGAAAGAGAAAGAGTATTCTGCAAATACAGAAAATGATTAAACTTTATTACTTGCCCTCTACTTTTCTCCTACACTCTTATTTCTACAGTGAAGTTAACTACATAACTGTTTCTAGCTATCTTTCAACTTACTTCCTAACTGTCATTAAGTACTTGTCAGCGTACTAACTGAATCAACTAACTAATCATCACATGCCATTTACAACATTCATTACATGTAAATTGCTATGCTACTGTGGCTGGTTCTGTTATTTCTCTTCTGCTGTAACCTTCTCTCTTCCTTATTAAGCATCATGTAAAAATTAGCCCTCCCTTTAAAATTCTTGTCCTCAAGAATCCAAGCTAAAATCCAGGAATTGTTGACTCAATTGTTCCAAATTCTCTCAAGTGGCATCTTCCTCAAACATATTAGACCACTGTACTAATCCATCAGCTCTACCTTATTTCCTTTCTTCATGAGTTTCCTATCCAGTATAGTCACTGGAGCAATCTTCGCCCTTCCACCACCACCCACTAGTGTCAAAGTTGTTGAGGTTACTACATTCTCACTAAGCTTTTTCTTAGCAATGAGACATGAAAAACTAGGTGTGTGGCAACTTCTTTTTGTAATTCCAACCTATATGCAACTGAACCAATCTTTTACAGAACCTTATATGAATGATAAAATCTCAGATTGAGCTTGAAATGCTTCCCTAATTCCATACTTGATTGCTTGTATGGTTGAAGCTTTAAGTAAATATAATCCACCTCCTTGAATTCGCTATCAGTTATATTTTTATCTGCCATATACTTTATCCTATGCACAACCTTCTCTAACTACTTCTGCAAGAACTGATCCATATTAATTCTATTGGTTACCACCTCTTCCACTGTAGCCATTGAACTAACTTCTTTAGGAGACAATGCCCTACTTGGTAGTGGATACCTAAACAATGCTTGGAAGGGACTCATTTTGATAGAAGAGTGGAAGCAAGTGTTGTGCCACCATTGAGCTAACGATGACCATTTAAACCACTTCTTAGGTTGATTCATTGTTATACACCTGAGATATATCTTCAAGCACTAGATATATCATTTAACTACTAGTGTTTTGTACTCAATGCTTTGCTGAAAAAAGCTAAAGGTTGGTCTTTTTGGCTTAACACAACCCCTATTCCATTGGCACAAGCATCAATCTGCAGTACAAAAACCTTATCAAAATCAGGCAATGCTAACACTAGTGCTATACATGAAGCTTCCTTGAGTCTGTCAAATGCCGCTCGAGCCATGTCCACCCAAACTTATTCTATTTCAAAATTTTAGTTAATGGTTTACTGATGATTCCTTTAATGAATTTCTTGTAATATCCTACTAACCCAAGAATCCCCTTAGTTCTTTGATTGTATGAGGTACTGGCCACTCTTTGACTGCCAAACCTTAAACAAATTACTTTTGAAAACTCATCCCAGTTCATTAAGTCCTTACCTCCTACCAAGAACCTTTCATACGAAATCTTCGCTCTTCCTCCTACGTACAAAGAAGCAATCTCAACTCATTGGTGTATGACTATGAAGCGCATCTTAAAGAATTTCATACACTGCCTCACCCAACCACAAGGATTTTCCCCCACAAAGTTAGGTAATTCCACCTTTGGCAAAGTTATATCATACCCTCCTTTGTTGCTTTCTTGAATCCCAACAACATTCTCCCTCATTTATTGTTCACTGTCTTGATTGGCCTCAAAGGAACTCATGGTTGACAGCAGTGTCTACATCTTCAATTGTAGCTGTTCTATCCTATTGTATAACTCAGTTCCTTGCATTTTAACTTCAGCTCTTACCTCTTGTATTTCTTTATTTGTTTGTCTGCTCTGCTCCTCTAGAGCACTCATCTTGTTTGGATCTTTGGCTCTGATACAAAATTGATAAGAAATGTCCTTAACAATGGTGGTTAGTAGTTTAAGAAAGGGAGGTTGAGGAGTAGAAGAAAGAGAGAAAGAGAAAGAGTCTTCTGCAAATACAGAAAATGATTCAACTTTATTACTTGCCCTCTACGTTTCTCATACACTCTTATTTATAAATGGCATTAACTACCTAACTGCTTCTAACTACCTTGCAACTAACTTCCTAACTGTCACTAGCTGCTTTTCAGCTACTAACTGAATCCACCAACTAATCATCACATGCCAATTACAATATTCATCACATGCAAATTGTTATGCTTCTTCTGCTGGTGGTTCTGTTACTTCTCTTCTGCTGTAACCTTCTTTCTTCCTTATTAATCATCACTAACATTGTGTCGTAGAGAGGCAATCACATCTGTGAGGGAAAATTTGTGCTAATCAATATTTTTTATTGTAAGAATATATATCTTTTCTCATTGTTATGATTGATTTGATATCTAAATGATATTAGGAAATCCAATTCCCAGTTGTCATCCTAAGTACAATTTGGATTGAGGTTTTGTTCATCAAATCATTTAACTGATCTCTTGAGACCAATTGCTGACATGCATCTAAATACAGAAATATTGGTGCTGGGAGAATGTGTTAATCAGTTTAGACTATATAAACAAGTAAAATTTCTCCTTGTCATCATATTTGGAAACAGAATCCAATTCCTAGGTTTATACCAGAGCATAATGGTGTTGGGATTGCACTTTATTGATAATTTAGAAGTTCTTTTGAAATGATGAATTCTTATGGAAAGAAATTCTTTTGGATAGGGATGTTCTTCAGTCCCAGCACTTCCTTCAAGAATAAAGAGGGTTTTCTATATGTCAAATGAGGGTGGAAACTCACTGCACGAGGTGAATACATCTTGCACTTTATTCTTCTACCACAAACAATTATCATCATGAAGAATTGTTCTTGTATCATGGTCATGTGTTTTTTGGTTGGTATAATGTAAAAGTGGCCCAGAACCTTTGGTACTACCTTCATATGCAAGAGCCTGACATTGCAAAAAAATAAAATTGAAAAGCAAAAATGAAAGACGGTATTCTGGCATTGGTACTTCAATAAGATTTATCTTTTCTGTAATTTCTTATAAGACCACAGTTATGCAGTCATTTGAAACTTCTTTAACATGCAAAATATAGCATGTCTGCATAACACCAATTTCTTGCTTAGATACGTGAATATGATGCTGTATATTCACTTGTTTCTGATCTCTTCCACCTGGAATTTGATGTCAGGTTATTTGTAAAGTTTGGTTTTTTTCCCCTTATGGCTAACAATTTTGCTGACGTGCTTTATGTATTTGGTGAATGGTGATACAAGGAGATAGGACATGCCTGTACCTTTCGAACTTCATTAGTCACATTGATGTCTTGTTTCCAGTCTGGTTTTTTTTATTTTTTTTTTAAAAAAAAACTCCTGTCTCTCAAGTTTCTTACAGTTGCATATTCATGTCATGAAATGTGGATCTTGGTTATTGAAATATGTAATCTCTGATTCTAATAATGTTATTATTCAAATTGAATAGGTCTTCCCCATGGTAAATGCATCTGTCTTGGACCGATTGAGTAATGTGGATTGTATTGTTTATGCAATGGGATCCCTCTTTACCTCCGTTTGCCCATCATTGGTAACATTCTTGATTCAGTGTTTTTAATGAAATTTAAATTTCATTAGATGGTTGTTGCCAAATTCGTTTTCTCATCTTTTGGTTTGCAGGAGGATATTGATGTGATTTTGTTTACTTGTGGTTCATCATTATCTATGGCTGTTTCATTTACCTGTTATTCATCATTAAATATGACTTGTCTTAGGTGTTACGTGGCATTGGAGAAATTATTTCTTCCAGGAACTGCCCTAAGGTGCTGATTTCATAACCTCTTGGACATGCGTCAATCGATGCATGTGGCTAATTTCTTGCTGTCTTATTTGCATCAAAATCTATCATTACTCTCTTGATCAATCATGTCACAGATTTGGAAATTAGAATCCTCTGACCTTCCATGTTTGGACATTCTTATATATTATTTAAAAGCTGAACATCAAAATATGCTGCTATTTTAGCATACATGTGCTATACTTATTTAGCTCTCTCCAACATTAGGTACTTTTGTTGAATGGTACACATGATCGAGAGACAAATGGCTTTTCTGCTTCTGGGTTTGTAACTTCCATAACAGACGCCCTAAATCGAAAATATGGAGATACTGATTCTTGTTTGGAAAATCTTGTAAGTGGCTAGATGGGTTATATTTTGAGACAATCATGGAGTTATGATGAAAAAATATTCTTCTGTTTTATCCAATTTTTAGAAACATATTCTACCCTATGCATGTGAGATCTATAGCTGAATATCTTTACTAATAAAACCACCTCACATTGTGCATTTCTTATCTTTTTGTCTGTATTTTGGATTCAGGGACCGGAGAAGGGGCTGGACAATTCACAGTCCCCTTCATCCTGGTTGGTAGAGAAAACTACTATTTTCCACCCATGTTTGAGTTCACAAGTCAATTTTTCACCCTATGTTTCCAATACAGTATTGCATCCAAATCAACAAAAATGTTATCCAATTCAAACCAGTCAATAACTTCTGTTTACAATTTTTAAAAAATCCATACATCACTTGACATCCATATTTGTGAAATGCAATGTTAGAAGTCCACAAGATCGCTTTAGTTCAGAATCTAACAGGAGCTATCAATTGGGTTTGAATGGAGTGCATTTGCTCCAATTTGGGTGCACTTGACTAAATTGAAATAAAAGGTGCAAATTGACTATTCAATACAGCACAGGGACAAAACAAACTGGTTTTCTTCTGGTTGCTACACGTGCTTTTATTTACAATGTGTAGCCTTCCCTATGGTGAGAAGATCTCATTTTTTATCCTTACAATCGAGTACTTCTTGTCAAAAAGATGGTCCTTTCTGTCCACATGCCTTTTTATGAGAATTTTTGTAAGTTGATGCTTGCAACATTGCTTTTTTATTCATCCAGCACAACCATTTTCTGGCTGAATACACTTTGAGTTAAAAAGAAATGAAGGACTTCACTTTTGCGGGAGATATAGCAGTTAGGGAAATTGTGATTTTCCAGCCTCATATGCTCATGTACCTTTTGCTTCTTTTGACACCTCCAACTTAAAGATTGATAAGTCATGCTAGTAGGTTGTTGGTTCTTGCTTTCTAAAGAAAAAAGTTCTCTCGGTTTTGCTAAAGATCTGTGATAAAACATTTAATATACAAGGTTTGCAAAACTACTTTGATTTTGAGGAAAAAAAAAGAAAAGAAAAGGAATGAAGCATGCTATTTACTTCAGTTGATATCTCTATGCAGCCAAACCAGTACATCAATACACTTTTAGTTCCCAAAGATGGCCAAATTCCCATAGATGTGCAATGCTTGACTTCCCAAGGGATCTTTGATGTGGTATGTGTGCTTATATCATTACTTTTAGTTGCATTTAAACTAAGTAGATGTGCAATGCTTGACTTCCCAAGGGATCTTTGATGTGTGTATGTGTGCTTATATCATTACTTTTAGTTGCGTTTAAACTAAATTCCAGCAGCTACATATTCAAATGATTATGTGGTATGTCTTGGAGTTCAATATTTTGTTTTGTAGTTTCCTAACTTACAACTTATAGATGTCTTATTTCCATTGCTTACATCAGTTGGTTTACTATGAAGTAGACATTCTTGATTAGAAAAGCTATCTGAGAAATTCTTTCTGGAAATCTCCTAGTATGATATCTTCCTTTAGCTCTACTCTTTGCATTGGTTATTTTTCCTTAAAAAGTACACTTTCTCCCATTACCACTTGCTTTCCACAATGGCTTGACGAGTATGTCTATTGTCTAGCAAATTCTAAGGGCAGATAGTCAGGGATTTACCTGGCTGGCATTTCAGGTGCTCTATTCAATGGTTGTGATATTGCCTCATCTCTTATTGGGGACTAGAAAACTGACTAGAGCGATTTGCTCGTTGATGTTAATTCACCCTTCCCTGATGATGTTAAGTTGCTTTATTTGTTCACGAGGTTAAACAAATTATGGTTTTTGCAGATCATGGTTGACTCTGTCTGTGATCCGAAAGTTGGTGTAATATTCAACCCAAAGTCATTGATAGACGCCCTTGCCAATTTGATTGGCAGATACATGAGCACAAAAATGTGATGAAGGATGGACTCAATTTTGACAGAGAAAATTGTATTCAGGGGCAAACATGATTGCTTCAGGTGCCTTTGGAATGATTCCATGCGCGGAGATGTTGCATACAAGGTAAAAGTTTGAGCAAGTCAACCTTCAACAGAAAATGCCAATTTTTTTTACTTGGTTTAATATCAATATATAAAAACAGTGTATTGGCTGGTAGGCTTTTCCCACTTCTGGTGTCAGACGATGCAAAATTTAATTGAAGAACGGAGGAGGGTCGAGGAAGCAGCAACAGCATGGAAACCTCAATTCTATTGCATTGCAGCAACTCCATTCTCATCGAAGGAGTCGTATATTATATTAGTAGAAATAGTAAAAAAGCTGTACAAAATTACCGTAGTTGTACTTTCTGGTTCTAACATGAAAGCAAGTACTGAACTTTAATCACGCATCACGCATCCGAGACAACTGCGAGTGCGAAGAATGAACAGGATTTTAAATGTTGACGTGTGTTTGGTAATGCATGTATATTAAAATAGTGTTTTTTTTGTTTTTTTAAATATAGATCATAAAATCATCAAGAAAAAAAATAGCTTAAAAAGGATTTTAAAAAAACAGGTTGAACTGGAAAAATAAACATGCCAGTTGATCCCAGAATTTATGCCGTAGTGCGGCCATGGGAGTTGAGGATCATCAAATTAGGGTTATTTGAAAGCTGTATTGTGGTGGGACGGTGTTTCTCGAAATTCCATCGAAGTGTCTTCTCACATCACCTTCTGCTCGGCTGCCTTTCGTACAAGTGACAGACTTTGGTGAAAATCAACATGTTTTTGCAATTGAGTTACTTGCACATCAGCAAGATGCCTTGCTTACTTTCCTATAACAAAAAAAACGAAGATTATGGAAAATGTTTGTTTTTCTATTTTAAAAATTTTAATTTTTTAATTAATATTTTTTGAAATATTTAGATTATTTTAAGGTGTTGATATTAAAAATAATTATTTTAAAAAATAAAAAATATATATTATTTTGATATATTTAAAAAAATACTTCAAAAAACAACTGTGTAAATACGCTGCGAATAATCATTGCTGTAACCCTGCGCGCAACCAAATTTTTTTTTCTTGGTTTCTAACAAGGTTGAAACTCCAGTGTGAACTACTGTAACATCGGCCTTAAAGTGCCGGAATTCTTCCTGATCCCTCTATGCTTCTGCTAAGATCTTGGGTTTTGACCACCATTTCCTGGACAAATATGGAGGACCGCACAGGTCGTTGTTCCGAGCCCTAGGTAAATTAAGCAAAGCAAAGCAACTATTTTGGCATAACCCTGCAGAATCATATCATATTATCACTATCTCAACATCCAATCCCTCTCTATAATTAACCTGCAATAGATTATGTTTTTTAAGACGTTGTAAATAATTTTTTCAATATTAAAAAGAAAAAGAAAAATTCAAGTTAAAGAAGTGATGTATCAACATTTTTGGGCAGTTTAAAAAATAAATTTTGAGTCTTAAGCTCTTGTTTAGAAGTCCTAAATAAATATTCTCACAAAGATGGATTTCCAAAAAATAAAATAACTAAATTCATCAAGTTATAGATCCTTAACCAGTCAGCAAACACTAACAAAAAAAAAAGCAAGTGCTAAACAATTTATGTCCAATGCAATCCACTTTCTTGGATTGTACTGTAGCAATGGAATTCAATTAGAACTTGAAAGCGTTATTAGTTATAAGGCATATTAATTCATCAGCACATAAATAAAACATGTTTAATAACTTCAGTATTTTAAGATCGATTTATATGCTCTAAAAGAAGGCAATGCTAAGCCATACACATAATGAGTTTATTTGATCATATTTTAATTTATTTTGTCCATACTCAATGAAAAAACTTAATCCCCTTACTTTCTATAGGTGCAATGTTCGACAGAAATGTTTGCCAGTTAAAATTTTTATAATTATGATTATATGAATTTGATATCAAAGTATCTCTTTTTTAGTAGTAAGAAATAGCAACGTAATATTAAAATTTATGCTTAAATTACCTATAACTAATAAAGATTTGGGATTTTGATAATCTTGACATATGTCTTCTTTTAGAATTACCACAATTAACCATTTTCTGTCATCAAGATATAGTTTAACTATTTATTTTGGTTTATATAACTGTGGTGTGATTCGATAAGTAATAACACAATACATACATTATAATAACATTGGTTATGGAAAATCTATCAAAAAAGGACAATTTCTTTTGCTACCAAGATTTAGAGATCTTATGTATCACAATAAATAAATAAATAAAATAAACACTATTATACCACATCACAAAAAACGAATTCTCGAACATGTAAAGAAAAATCAAGAAGATACCACATCATAAAATATTTCAAGACTAGTAAGGATTTTATCTCATAACAACAAGTTTTACCTAGAACAATTAATGTTAAACCAAGATTCAAAATCTTTAGCTGCTAATTTAGCATAAGCACAAATGGTTGATTTGAAAATGCACTTTATTTATTCATAAATCAATTTATTCTACAAACTCTTGTGTGAACTACCTTCATTTTAGAAGGAAATGCAAGATCATAATTTATAAGAGAGTTGTAGATTTGGAAGGATCCTTGATGTAGGAGGTTTTAAAGGAAAAATATTTTTCCTTAGTTATTTATACTTTTCTCTATCTAGTTTAGGAAATTATAATTATAAATTATACTTAATGCTATTGTTTCCCACGACTCAATGAAGTCTTCATCATGCTTATATTATCCTTTCAAACAATTAAATTCAATAATCTCACCTATCAAGGTAACAAACAAATATATCCATGTACTCAAAGCATCAATAACCATATTTTGGACTCTAGCCTTATACCCAATTTTGATTAGGAACTATTGAAAGTAAGTTACTCATCTAGCATGTATATTATTACTAATTCACTTATGGATATGTAGGAGTTTTAGCGTGTTATAATCATAATACAACACATTTCTTATTTATAAAAAAGCTAAATCCTTAGCTAACCTTTATCTAAGTTCAATGTGTGATGGAAATGCTTACAAAAATTAATTTTTTAGAATTATGATTATATGAATTTAATGTCATTGTTTCTCTTTCTTAGTAAGAACAAGTGGTGAAGTGATATAGACATTTATGCTAAAATTACCAACAAATAAATATTTGTGATTTTTGTAATTTTGACACAAGACTGGTTCTAAAATTACTGAAATTAACTATCTTCTAAAACCTTAGTGATACTGAATTTGGATTTAGACCTTAAAAAGGTTCATGAATCATTGAATTAATCAATTATGCATTTATTTTAAATATAGTTCATGAGTCTTTATGTATTTATCTTCAAGTCTATATCAAAAGTCTTTTAATATATATAATGAATAAGTTTATGTATGTGAGTTAAACCAATTCATAGTGGGTTTTCCATACTTATTATATAAATACTCATTTTCTTATTTGAATAAGACATCTCAAAATAAAAATAAATAGTTTATTTATCAAGAGTAATTATTCTTACATTATATTCTTTTATGTTTTCTCTTTGTGGATTTCTTAAAGTGGCAAGTAGATTATTCTGGAGAGTTCACTTTTATTTTTATTTTTATATCTTTTTAGTTTCATGTCATTTTGGTATCAAAGCTTGACAATTATGTCTAGACAACATGGATGACATAGTGAGCAACTCGCTCTTAACCACAACAATCTTGAAGATTATAAGCAAGAGCATCTTGATATTAAGGTGGAAGAATTAAAGCGGCAGGTGCATTAACAACATTTCAAACAATATGAACATCTGAAACATGATGATTTCTATCATGAATTAGAGCATGAATATTAAGATATTTATCTTTTTGGAGGTGATTGTTGTCATATATATATACATTCGACGAGGTAAAGCTGATTTCTAAAGGATTTTTGATATAAAAGTTGATATTCTCAAATTCAAAGGAAAGCTGTAGTAAGAAGAATTCATTGATTAGTTTAATACGGTGGAGAAAGTCTTTGACTATAAAGATATCAAAAAAAATCAAAAGGTAAAGATATGTTTTCTTAAATTGACTAAGTATGCATTAATCTAATGGGAGCATTTGCAGAAATACATGCACATGAAAGCAAGAAACAAATCATTATATCAGAGAAGATTAACTAAAAAGAAATTTATATCGTGCAATTATTATCTAGATTTTTTTTTAAGTATCATAATTGGAGGCAAAATAAGTTGTTAATGGAAGATTACATAATATAATTCAATAATATTTAAATGTTTTATGATCTCAATAAACCCAAAAGGTAAAGGGTCTTTATCTTAGAGAATAATGCTTAGAGGTTAGTAAGGTGGTAAAACTTAAACAATATTATATTTATAATGATATGGTGAAGATGAAGAAATAAACCTAGAAAAGATATGATGGTGGCTTAAAGTTTTTTCCAAGAAATGAGAGCAAATCTCACAAGAATGTTTCTAATTTCAATATTAAATTTTTAACAAGGCAATGACTATAAAACCTTTCAAACAAGAAGGGTCATCAAGTACTAATCAATCTTTTGTTATTCAATGTTTTCAATGTCAACTTGTAATTCATGTTGTATCTAATTATTTAAATAGAAAAGTTGTTTTAGTTATGGAAGAAATAGACGAAGATGTCATTAAAAAAAAAATTTAACTGATAATAGCCCTATATTCAATGAAGATATAACTTATGGTGAGGAAGGAGAAAGGTTAGTCATTCAAAAAAAAATTAAAAAACAAATAATATAGAAAAAGAATGTTGACTTCAAAACAATATTTTATATATGACATGTACATATTTGGAAAGATTTATAATGTGATAATAGGTGGAGAAAGTTGAGAAAATATGATATTTGATATAATAGTGGATAAATTGATCCTCAAAACTATTGATTACCTGTATCTTTATAACTTGTTTTGGTTGTAAAAGGGAAATAAGATAAAAATGAATAAAAGATGTTTAATTTATTTTATTTTAATTATAAATAATTATAAAGATGAAGTTTATATAATATTTTTCTTGAAGATATTTGTCCTTTATTACTCAGTAGATCATGGTAGTATGATTAAAAAAAAAAGAGTTATGCATGATGGATTCAAAAACACCCATTTTCTTAGAAAGATAGTATGAAAATTATCCTAGATCCAAGCAAGATAAAGATCAATAAAAAGCCTTTAAAAAAAGCATGAAATAATATGCTTTCTAAGTCTATATTTCTTATTTCTATGAAAAACATAATTAATCGACTTATATAATGGTAAAAGTGAATGAAAAAAAACTTATAGTCCATCTAATCATGCAACCACTACTTCAAAAATTTAAAGATGTCATACCAAAGGAAATACCAATTGGCCTTCCATTACTGCGAGATATTCAAAGTTGTGTTGATCTTATTCCTAGATCAATGTAAGATATTCATTCAATTTAGTAGCTAACATTATTACCATCAAGTACCCTTGTTTATCCCTTACCTTAATGATATGATAGATCAAACTCATAGTGTCAAATATTTTTCAAAATTTATATGAAGGGTGGACATCACTAAATATATATATAAGGCTTTAAGATGTGTGGAAGACTACTTTCAATACTAGAGATGGCCTATATAAATGGGTGTGAATACTTTTTTAGCTATTTAATACCCCTAGCACTCTCATATGGCTTATGAATCATGTTTTCAAATCATTCATTGGTCGATTTACGGTGATTTATTTTGATGACGTCCTTATATATAGAAAAAATTAGGATAAGCATATGGAGCATCTTCGCTACGAGTTCAATGTCTTGTGAGAACAAAAAAAATATTTATCAAAAGTAAATGTGATTTTCTCATGGATAAACTATTATTTCATGGCTATGTTATTTCAAATGATGGCATATTGATGGATCCTAACAAGGTAAAAGTTATCATAAATTGGTGGACTTTATGAGAAAGTTGGGGGCTACTTTACAATTCAAATAAAGTTATTAATTAGAGTTTGAGTAGCATATTAAGAAGCTTGGTAGGTAAAAAGATTCACTATTGGATTTTGTTTTGTTTCAAGCTAAATTTACTTACGATTCCTCTACAAGCCAAACCATATGAGTTAATCATTTTGAAGTGGTGCATAAAAGAAATCCTTCTACTAGCTATGAATTTAGTGGAATATAAAAGTTCAAGCTAAGAATATAAATCAGATACATGTGCAAGTGCAAATACATCATTAAACATAATAAAAAATGTAAAGTTCAAGCTAACAAACATAAAAAAACCAACAACTTTAGTTTGAATTCACCTTTGAAATGAACATTTTGCTCATGTTCATCATGGAAAAATAAAGTTATAGGTTGATGTTCCTTTCAAATTTCTTAAGATAGTGAGAGAAAATACATATAAATTAAGGTATTAAAAATATATGATATTTTAAAAACTTTCAACATAATAAATTTCTCTCTATGATGGTAACATAATTGAATAAAACTAGGAGACAAGTTATTGCATAGTAGAAGTGTTTGACATTGAATTTAGACTTGCATATTAAAAAGGTTTATGAATCATTGAGTTAATATATGATATATTTATCTTATTTATTTTCAAGTCTAGATAAAGAGTCTTTTAGTCTATGTGATAAGTGAGGTTTGTATATATAAATTGAATTAATATATGATTCATTTATATTATTTATTTCAACTCGATATCAAAAGTCTTTTAGTCTATGTAATGAATGAGGTTCATATATGCTATCTATTTGAAAGTGCAGTTATGATTGTTTTTTAAAGCATTTTTTGTGTTAAAATACATTAAAATAATATATTTTTTATTTTAAAAAAATTATTTTTGAGATTGGTGCATTAAAACAATCCAAAACATACAAAAAAATTATTTTTTTACAAAAAAATTTAAATTTTTTAAAAATATGAGTATAATCACGCTTTCAAATGCAACCGTAAACCTATTCATGGTATGTTGTTTATGCTTAGCTAAAAAATACTTCATTCCTCCTCTTTAAAGTAAGACATCTCATAATAAAAATAAATAGTTTATTCTAATGAAAAGTGATTCTTCCATAATCATCGTCTTTCATCTTTTTGGTGGATTCTTTTAAGTGATGGATTGACTATCTTTAGAGTTTACATATATTTTTTCTTTTAAATCCTCATTAGTTCCATGTAGGTTGTCATCATGACATAGTTTAGCTACTTATTTTGATTTATATAACTATAATGTTTGATTCAATAAAAAATTGTTTTGGCTCGTTTTTTGCATGATAACATTATAGATGTTGCATACTAACATTGGTTATGAAAAATATATTAGAAAAGGACTCTTTCCATGTCTATCAAGCTTTAAAGATCTTATACATCACAATAAATAATTGAATAAATAAAATAAATTTAATACCTAAACATATCCTCAAACATGAAAAGAAAAGTTGAGAAGATACCACATCACAAGAAATTCCAATTGAGACTAATAATCAACATAAAGCCTATAGATTTTTATCCTCTCACAGTAAATTTTGAGCTAGAACAATTAATGTTTAATAACGATTTAGAATCTTTGACTACTAATTTAGCATGAGCATACATGGTTGATTTGAAATTGCATTTGATACAATACAATGTGAAAATTGAAAGAAATAAATTTGGAAAAAGAATAAGCTTAAAATTAAAGGAAATGAGTTTAAGAAAAGAAATAAAAGAGTTAAGGAAGAGAGGAAAATTGGGGGATAGAAATGTTTCCTTCTCAGTAAATTTTTATTCAGTTAATTATCAATTAACTACAACATATAAATATTAAAATCCTAATTAGAATAAATAATTAAATTTACAGTACACTAAATAAAATATTCAATAATAATTAAATTAAACTTAACAAATAAATCCGAATAAAATTCAATATAACTCATTAAATAAAATATTTAAAAATAATAAAAGTAACCTCAATAAATAATCTCAAATACAATCATTAATATAAAGGTTTGATTATCTTCCATAATCATAGATTATAAGGATATATGAACTATGTCTCGAATTTGATGTTACTATCAACACCCTATTTATCCTTGAACCGATTTTCTTCTACAAACTCCCGCGTGAACCACGTCCATTGTGAAAGGATATGCAAACTGCACAATTCGTTAAGAGAGTTGTAGATTCGAAAGGATCCCACTTGCAGACAATGAGTAAATGATAAATCTCTCTCTTCCTCTACTTTTCCTAATAAGCACAACGATGCCATAAATTGACACTTAGCTTAATGAGCTAGCAAGAAATAGGGATACGGATTATTCTCTTGAATCCATCTTCATTCTGTCTATAGCTCCACTACTGGAGTGAAGGGAAACCATCTTTCCTCTCTTGCTTTCTAGTTTTTATTTAATTAATCATTTCCAAAATCGACAAAAGATTTTTTTGCACGTTTGGTATATGTAACAACCAAAAACTCAGGTCAAGGAACAATTGAAGAAAACTATGTTTTGAAGAATAAGCTCAGGTCAAGGGATTCCAATGTGTAGCTTATGTTTAAATTTTATGATTGTGTATCTGCATTAGTAATGATGAAAAGTTTCAATCAGAAAAAACCTGCATTCTCTTTTCCACAAAGTCTTGTCGACCACTGCATGTCGTGCGAACCAAAATGGTTTCAGGATAAAGTCCTTCGCGTACCTCGTCAAGGAACTTGTTTCGGCTGACATAGGAAAATGGAACTAGCAAAAAAAGGTATATTGTTAAAATGTTTAAATTCAATATGTCAAGGGGTACTCTTTCCGATAGAGATGAGACATTAAGTACGGCATATAGGCTCAGGCTCACTGATTATTATTTTTATTGTTGTTATTTTGCTTGAATTCATGCTTAACACTCCAATATTGAACGTAACTTGAACAAATAGTTGGATAACTCAAAGGTATAAGGAAAAATAAGCATCGCAGAACAATACAAGTGCTACAAAATAAAATACGAGAAGTACAGACAACGCAGCAGCGTCCAAATTTTGTGTCAGGATCATACACAACGTGCCAGATTCATCAGGTTATTTGCTTCCACATTGTAAGAATTGAAGCCATGGTGTGAATGCTGTTTGAGAGAGATCTTTAAGCAGACCAATGCAAGTACTATAAATACATGTAATTCACTAATGACTAGTGCAATATCATCACGTCCTACAATACTTGCCTATAGTTACAATCTTGCACACTTCAGCAGAATGGCTTTTATACCAGAAAACAAACTAATCTTTGCAGTGGTCTTACTTCTTGGGCTCTGGACTTCTCATGTCTGGTCACGCTCTTTGTATGAGGCTTCCATGATGGAGAGACATGAAACATGGATGGCTCAGTATGGACGAGCATATAAAGACCGTGTAGAGAAGGAGAGGCGCTTAAACACATTCAAGAACAACGTGGAGTTCATCGAGTCTTTCAACAAGGATGGGAAAAAGCCTTACAAGCTAAGTGTCAACGAATTTGCAGATCTTATGAACGAGGAATTCCGGGCCTCGCGCAATGGATACAAGATGCCCGCTCATTTGAGCTCATCTAGCACCAACCCTTTCAGGTATGAAAATATAAGTGCAGTTCCGTCTACCATGGACTGGAGAAAGAAAGGAGCTGTTACCCCTATCAAGGACCAAGGTCAATGCGGTAAGGCATATTGATGATAACCTCTATGATCTGCTTACCATTTTTCGAAATGTGAAAATTTTTCATTTTCCATTTCTTTTAGACAAACTGAATCGTCTACCCTTTTTTCAAATCCATGCAAAACATATATAGGTTGCTGCTGGGCATTTTCTGCTGTGGCTGCAACGGAAGGGATTACCCAGCTCTCAACTGGAAAGTTAATTTCTCTTTCCGAGCAAGAACTGGTTGATTGTGATACAAGTGGTGAAGACCAGGGTTGTAACGGTGGTTTTATGGATGACGCCTTTGAATTCATCATTCAGAACAAAGGCCTTACGACTGAAGCCAATTACCCCTACCAGGGAGCTGATGGAACTTGCAACTCTGGGAAGGCAGCTGCAAAGATCACTGGTTATGAAGACGTGCCTGCCAACAGCGAGGCAGCGCTGTTGAAGGCAGTAGCCAATCAGCCAGTCTCAGTTGCTATTGATGCTGGTGGATCTGCCTTCCAATTCTACTCGAGTGGTGTGTTTACCGGAGATTGTGGGACTGATTTAGATCATGGTGTGACTGCTGTTGGGTATGGTATGAGTGATGATGGTACCAAGTACTGGTTAGTCAAGAATTCCTGGGGAACTAGCTGGGGAGAGAATGGATACATAAGAATGGAAAGAGATATTGATGCCAAGGAAGGTCTTTGTGGAATTGCAATGGAAGCTTCGTACCCTACAGCGTAATGGCAACAAATGATGGTTATCCTTCATTTAGAGTTCCCAGCAGTATATTTCCAATTTTTTTTTGTTGAATGTACGTGCAGTGTTCTCTTTGTTAATATGTAAACTGCTGTGTTCCATGTACGCTTAAGTCAAGGCTTTTGCTTTGTGAATGAAATTCATAATGATTGCTTGTTTGTAATTTACTCTTCAAGCTAAAGAGTAGCATGAAATCTATACAAAAATATGTTGCTTGGTTGTCTTACCTTTTCATTTAGAGAGGGTACACTCCCCATTCTGTTCTTGTTCAAATTCAAGATTTGGCCCTAATCTGTTCCGTCACTAAAGCAAAGACCCAAGTGATAATCTATCTTTTAGTTAGAAATAGCTATTTCCGTTCATTTTAATCACAAATGATAATCTAGAAACATGATATTGTGTCATAGAAACACATGATTTGGAGGAAGAAAAAAAACAGGGATGAAAATCCAGACAAGAGAGCCTTTTTTTAATAATAAAAAAAAAGGTCATGGTACTTCAAAAAAAAAAAACAATATTTAAGGAGTAAGTTTAGTTTGAAACCAAGTTCAGGATAATTTAACCTTGTTTTTAAAATAGAAATACCTTATATTGAAACAGAGGTATTCAAGGGAATTCCAAGAGATGGCTTCAAGACGAGAAAGTCAAGAACTCAGCCGACTAAGAATTCTAGGTAGGAACTATCTAGGTGGTGGTCAAGTGGTAAAGATTTGGGATCAAGGGATTTGCTCCCTCTGTGGTCTCAGGTTCGAGTCCTTGGTTGCTCATATGATGGCCACTGGAGGCTTACATGGTCGTTAACTTCAGGGCCCGTGGGATTAGTCGTGGTGCGCGCAAGCTGGCCCG